AGAACACTATCTTAAAGAAATTTGATGCAACTCAATTTTAAATTGTGTGATAATTAAAATATGTGTTAATTTATTTAATTTGAGAAGAAAAACAAAGTAAATTAAAAAGAATTACTATAAATCTTACATTAGTATCGACAAGGAAAAAAATTCAACGACAAAAAAATGAAAAGTAAGTTTTCTGCCTATTTCAATACATCTTAAACAACACCGCACAGTAGTCTACATCCAAAACAAAATGGCTAAAAATTTAAAACAGTTATTTAAAAAAAAAATTCGATTATAACTACTTTTTGATATCAAGAAATAATTTTTGACAAAATGTTTTTATCTTATAAAAATATTGTATTTAACTAATGTAAAAGTGTAAATAAATTAAATCAAATTTTAAAAAAATTTCCAATTACATACTTTCTTTAAACTTGTATTTCACATTGTAGAATTCAGAACATGCAAACATTAATTATTTAAATATTGTGGAATTCTATGTTAGGTGCATATGACAGTTTTGAAACTGTATGGGTCTTGTAAAAAAAACGTTCATACAGTAAGAAAAAGACTAATAATAATAATCTCCCATTTGCATCAAAGAATGTTGAAAATTAAAATGTAAAAAGATTCTGCGGGCGTTTGACGCTATAAAAACTGATCAAACCTTTAAAAATAATTGACTAATTTCTGGAATTTTTTATCATCGGAACTAACAGTAAAAACAGACATTAACTTTTTTTGTAAATTTTAACAACAAAATTCATTTTTAGCAGCAACGTTAAGATATTGTGCATATTACAAACATCTAAGAGTACAGTGAGCAAAAATAAATAAGAAGTCCACCCTAAATAACTTTTGCTTTAATGATCGGATCTTCTTGTTCTAGGACTCAATCTTAGCGGTTTAGGGGATGACTTCAAATATGCTAATTAATTAATTCAGATGATGACGAAATTAGTCACACAACCGTACTTTCTCTGAATAAACATACTTTTTCTACGGTTTTGGATTTCTGATCCCCAACATAAAGGGGGGTAACCGCAATCTTCGCAATAAGGTCCCAATCATTTGATCAGGAGAATGATCCAAAGTTTGTAATTTTTACTTTTTGCGTATTACACCATATCTAGAAAAATTTGTAAGCGAATTTGAAAAAAATGTTCACCCAAATATAATTCCATGCAAAAAAATTATTTTTTAGTGAGTATTTATTATTTTGTATTATTTCATTTAACAATAGTTGATACATTTTTGAATAGTGAGATATGCAGTTTTGTACATCATTTTTAAGAATATGATTTTATATGACAAAATACAAAGTTTGAGCAAAATCGGTTTAATAGTTTCTGAGAAATCGAATTTTAAAAAAATCAAATATTGAAATCCATCTTAGTAATTTTTTTCGGCTATTATTGTTTACAGAATTAACGGTTATTTATGCTATCTAATGAAAATAAAATAAGGAAAATGAAATTAATTTTCAAAAATATATCTACTACTTACTTAATATTACTCGATTGTTTATCATCTAATGTGCACTATAAGTAATTTTTAAAATTTCTTGCAAGGTATTTTGAATTATATCTACGGTATTGCAAAATAATATTTAATTTTTCAATCACAATTTTTTTCATGGTTTAGACTTAAGAGTTTTACACTTTTTTCAGTAAAAATTCATTTTCAATAAGAATGAAAACTCTTACATCCGCATTAAAATTTTTATCAATTGATATTGTATTAGCAAACATAAATACCGAAAATAAATAGAATCTCATTTATCAAAGTGTCGCAATACCATTTTGTAAGATATTGTCAATATAATCCTATTTCATCGATGTATTAGATTAATCGCAATGAATTTTGAAAAATCTGACATCATATTTGTAATTAGTAACCGGTCAAAACCCTAAAAAAATTTCATAATATACAGTTTGTCAAAAAGATTGGAAATTTGACCAGCTTTTTTTCCGATTGAGGCCACTATGCGCAGCCACTGCCGCTGTTTTGGGTGAATAACTTTACATTCTTTTTAACAAAAAATATATTTAAAAGACATAAAAACGTGAATTTATAAAGGACTTGTAGAAAAATGTACAGAGTGAACATTTGATTATTAATTCAACTGTTAAACCTGCAAGCTAAAATACCGCCGACATTCAGTTCACATAAGTGCAACGACAGAGTTGAATTGCTGAAAACAATCATGTTCATTTAAGGGCTTAAAGAGAATGTTTTATTTATTTCTTTAAAATTCTAATTTATACAAAAGTTATTGCACTTTAAATTATATTTGAGAGATTTTTTTTAAAAGTTACGTGGTTAGAACTTAGAGAATTTTATCCATTTCTCTATGAAAATTTCTCTCTTTCTCTCGAGATATTCACTTTATAAGCTCGCGCTTAACTTAATGTCAAAAATGAATGAATAAATGAAAAAAAGGGAGAGATATTAGATAAAAACAAGACACCATGAGTAACTTTTGATCTAGTGATCGGATTTTCATCGATAGCTTGGAACCAGTCATAATATTTCAAAAGCATGACTTTAAATATGTTTAGTAATTAGTGAAGACGGTATTTCACGAAGTTTCGAAATCAGTATTAGAAATGTCGATCCTAAAAGTGATTCCTCCATCCAAAGATAATTCAACGTAAAAAATTAGTTTTCAATAATTATTTATTATTTTATTTAATATTTAGAAAACAATTTATAGCAATAAATTAAAAATGGCAAAAACACAAAATTTGTGCGAGATCGGTGGAATAATCCGCGAGTTATCAGATTTCAGAAAAGTTATACATTCAAAATTTGATTTCTCAAGAACTACTTGACCGATTTTATGTTCTTTTTGTGCTCTGCCATTTAAAATTACATTTTTTAAAATAATATGATCATTTTTATATCTAGCAATTCAACTTTTTCTCCTCCTATTATTAAATAAAACAATAAAAAATTATTAAAAATTATTTTTTGCATGGAATGTTCATACATAAAATTACGATAGTTGTATTTTTATTTTGGAAAATATAAACTTTAAGAGAAATAATCATGGATGAGAAACAATGACATGGTTTGCTGAACGTAGTCTACTAATCACCTAAAAGGTTTGGAGAGTAACGATCTTTAAGATTGAAATTCTTGTTTAATTTCAAATGAGTTTAGTTTCAATTTTATGAAAAATTTTAGAGATTTTTAAGTGATCAAAATCTGAATTCTACTGATACATACAAGGTCATCGCAGAAATTATTAATTTAATTTTTTAAAAATTTGTAAGCGCATAGTTAAAAGATATAGAACGATAGAATATAGTTAAAAGATACAGATAGTGTATAGTTGAAAGATACAGATAGTGTATAGTTAAAAGATACAGATAGTGTATAGTTAAGAGATACAGATAAATGGAATCGGGGAAATCTCATCTTATATTTATGCTCCAGATAAATATCATACCTTTTCGTTACCCTCCCCCCCCCACTATAAAGATCTTGCGATTTCACTAAACATTCCAAGTAAAAGAATTGTTTTGGGCCCTAAAATCGAGGAATTATCCTTGGTTTCAGGTACTACAAAATAGAAACAAGCGGGCAATTAAATTCAAGGCTTTCAACAAGGCTTGATTCAATATCCCAGGAGCTAATTTAAATTTTGCTCAACTAGGCGGAAAAAAATATTACATTTTTTCTTTAGAAATTAACTTTTTAAAAAATGTAAACGATAAAAGTAGAAAATTGTATTAATTATTTTAAAAAAATTTATTTATTTAGTTATTTAATTTATTCAATCATTTAATTTAATTATTTAATTTATTCAATCATTTAATTTAATTACTTATATTTATTTAATTATTTAATTTATATAGTTATTTAAATTAAAAATTTAAACAAAATTAAGTAATTTTATTCGTTGTTAAAAATATTTAAAGAATATTTATATTAAAAATGATATTTGTTTGGATATTTCTTTAACTGCGCAATAATTATCATTAGCCTATTTTCTTATTTTTTGCCCAGGGTAAAAAATATACTAATCAATCTATAACAATTACAGATTCATTACTCAACATTACAACTAGAAATTACATAGCATTACAATTAGAGATTCATTACAACTAAAATGAAGGCCTCAATGGCGAGCGGTCTCGCCGTTGAGTGACCAAACACAACGAGGTAGAGTGTTCGAATCCCTCCCTAACCCTGGATGTTTCTGAGTGATGTCTTTTCCTAATGCGTGCTCTTCAATTAGACATGGGATTATCCAATCCTACTTCGTAATAAGCGCGCAAGTCTAAATGCATGTATGTAATAATTAATAAGTGAATTTGGAGAAAATTCACTTCATTACTTTATGCAATTTCTGAAATGATCAGTAAATGGCCGCACAAATTATAGGTAAGAAAATAGCTGCATCTTGACATTTAAAAATGAAAGAAGTTTGTGAGGAGAAATATGCAGTGTACTCAGAGTGATTTCTCGAACTTCGATGTCTCGAAAACCTTGTTACGTCAAAAAAATATTTTTCCCCTTGGTGTTATATATTTACCTAATGTTAATTTAAATTCCTAAGTCGAAGAATTTCTTCTCAAAACCTTGTTACGCCGAAATAAAAAAAATAATTTTTTTCTTAAAAAGCACAATGTAAGTTTATTTTAAACTAAATCTTTTCTGTCTAATACATTAACATTTTTGCCTTACTTTTAAAAATGAAGTTATTATTGTTGTATTTAGACTTATAGTCCACTATCATGACATACATATTTATTAGTAGTTATTCTCAAGTTTTATGACTCTAATTTTTAGAGTCATATTTTCGAACCTATTTTTTATGCTTTAGAACATATTGAGTTCCGAATTTCTTATCTGAAAAACTCGCTATTTCGAAATTTTTTTTAGTTTCCCTTATACTTTGAGATATCGGGAAGTACACTGTACTTCCCACATCCTTATAAAGGGTTAAAACAATGACAAAAAACTATTTGTCCAGATCATTTAAACCATAAACATATTATTACCTGCTGCCTCTGCACAATCTTTCTCTAGCTGTCTCGATATACAGATACGGCATCACGATTTCAAATGAATTCTTTGAAAATGTGTCAATATTTATTACAATTTTTGTTTATTCTACAGCATGAGTGTACGATAGGAAAAGTTTATGAAACAGAACTCACACAATCCGAACTCAAACGGAGAAAACTGAGAAACAGTATGTAAGGAAGGATAGTTTGGGTGAAAAGGAGATCTTATCCAGCGCCCTCTGTGGCAAGGTAGGGAGCCAACAAATTCTCAGAAAGTGAGAGAGATAGTTTGGCAGCGCCCCCCTCACACCTGTTATTGATCGAAAGAAGCACGTGGGGTCTTTGGCATAAGAAGGCGAGAAAACAAATATTTGTTCTTGCAAACACTGTGCTTGATTTCCGGATCATTCATTAATCGCAATTCAAAGACACTTGAAATGAAAACTACAAAAATTGAAGTTTGTTTGTCTTTCAGATGCTTCATCTTTAGTTTTAATTGAAACGTGTGTAAACAGATTTTGTTTAAATATCTAATCTTCCAAGAAAAGTACTTTTATAAAGTTTGTTTTGTATGTTTTACAAAACAGTTTGGAGAACAATCAACTCCAAAAAATTCTAAAATTAGGATATCTGGGAAGTGTGGGTATGTTGATCCTGATGGGTTGCTGAAACGTGTCCTTCGTTCTTTCCATTCTATTTGGAGTAGACCAAGCGCATCAAGAACCCATTCTCTTAAGTGACACATTCTACATTCTTTCACAAAGATTCTTTCCCAAAGATTTCAATTCTTTCACTCTATATTGACACGGAGACTTAACACAAAGACAGACACGAAATCATGCGGAACATAAACAAACTCATTATGGATGGAAGTTGGCAGATACACAAAACAAAAATATATCCCAGTTACCATAAAATACATAAACAAATAATAAATCTAAGTTAAGTAAAAGAAGTAGACGAGAAATAATTATATTTCAACTCATTCGATGTTCCAAAACGGCTATGTATTCAGTTGCTCTGTATCGTTCATTAACATTCTAACTTACGTAGAGAAATTTAGCTGAACTTTAACACGCCTTTTCGCTGATAAAGATTTAGCTGGTGCTGACATCTTAGGTTACATGTGTGAGTATCGGTTCGTCTTGAAGTGCAAGTACCCAATTATTACCTGTTTTTTTGTTTCATCTTGTCGTGCTACTCTTTTATTAGTGCTTGTGTTAGCCTGATTTTTATGACTCTTACCAACTCTTTACTTGTGATTTGGGAGTTGAAGTTTATCTAGTCGAAAAGTATGCGAACATGAAAAACGTACAACAATACCCATTTTCCCAATGAAAATCGGTCACCACATTTCTTACCGAAAGCAACCTCTCGTGTTGTTTACGAGACAAATGTTTCAAGACATTTCCCCGTTAAAGTTATTCGTAGCCTCCGAAAGAGCGTATCGAGTAGCACTTGCTCAGCCAAGAGCATCCAAGACATGTTCTAAAGCAGTGGTTACCAACTGGTGGCCCGCGGGCCGCATCCGGTTTTATTTTATGGCCCGCGAACTAAAATATATTAGTTGTCATTTTTTTGCAGAAAATTTTCGTAAAAAATCGATATAGGTTTAAAATACTTCTTTTTCGAAAAAAAAGACTCTTCGTTTCTGTGAAATTTAACATACCAACGGTGCAAAAATAATTATTTCTCAGGCTTTGTAGTCAAGGAAATATTTAATAAAATACAAAAATAATCGTGTATGTTGCTCTTTTTTATTTTGTATTTTGTGAATATAATTTAGCATGTGCGTATCTAACAGTAATATTTAATGTTCATTCAAACATAAAGGAGTCCTATATAAAATGTTGAAAAAGTTGTGGCCCGCCATTTGACTAGTGTTTTTAATTGCGACCCCCGGTCTCCTGTAAGTTGGAAATCCCTGTTCTAAAGGGTTTCAGGTCTGAAAATGTCCACTTCATCTTCTAAATATATTTGGTTTGAGCCATGATGGCTCAAGGGAAAGAGCGTTCGCATTCCAATGAAGTGAACCGGGTTCGAATCTCAGTTATGGCTGGTCGAAACGACGAAAAACATCTTCAGTGATAGACAGATCGTGGATTAGAGTCCCCTTGCAGTCAGGCTAACCGTTGGAAGCTATTAATACTAGGTAAATATTTAAAAAAAAAGTTAAGCTCATTTAAAAGGAATTTTTTAATTATCAACAATTAAAAAACCGAATTTCATCTGTAAATTTTAAATCTGTTATTTCTTTTTTTTTCTAAAACTTCATGCATAGGATTCCAAAAAAGCTAAAATTCTTATTTTTATATTTCAAGACAATCGAATAAAAATGACACTTTTCGGTTTTGAACACTTTTTTTTTTGGTTGTTACTTTTATAGTGAATGGCGTTCTAAATTAGCTGAATTCTGAATCAATTAAGAGATAATTGATTCTGGTAGGCTGCTTGAAAATTGAAAGAACAATTAAACGTTCGATAAAATAACACCAAACCAAGGTTGATTTTCTTGTTTGCAAAACTAGAGAGGAAATGTTCAATAACTTAACTTTTTCCGATGTTTATTTCCAATTTCTATTTACAGTAGATTAAAATCACATTAGTGAAGTTGGTAATTAGATTTTGACTTTATTAAATTTGCTTAATTTCACTCGTGCTTAAGTAACACCATCATTAAATTAGAAAGAAATTGCTGCTCTTTAGAAAAATATTTACGCTAATAAAGATAAACACAATCCTATTGTTAAATATAACGAACCAAGTTACAAGATCAGAAAAGGCTTGTTTTATTAAATAAATTTAATAAATAGTATATTAATTAAATTATAAACGTTTGTTTTATATGTCTATGCACTAAATTATAATTTCCATCCAATTTTCTATAATTTAATTTCAGTAAAAGTTAATAAAGAAACAATTAATGTTTAAAAGTTAATTCTCTTTCCAATTTACTATAATTGAATGTTATGGATCTGTAAAAGTTACAAAACAAATCGTACAAAACTGTACAGTGTATTGTAAATAGCTGAGCTCGTTGAATCAAAATATTGATCAAATTTTCTGAAATCTTAGAATGTAGTTAAATTGAACCAAAACATCGTTCATATTTTCTAAAATCTTATCATGTAGCTAAATTGAACCATATCGATCAAATTTTCTGCAATCTTAATTTGTATTTAATTTGAACCAAAATATCGTTCAAATTTTATAGACTCTTAATCTGTTGTTAAGTAGAATCAAAATATCGTTCAATTTTTTCATAATATCACATGTCAAGCTGAACCACAATATCCATCAAATTTTCTAAAATCTTAATATGAGTAATAATTGAACCACAGTGACGATCAAATTAAAATTTCAATTTCTTTAAGCTAATTGTCTTTAAAAAATTCATATTAGACTGCCTATTTAGTGTTTTTTCAAATCATGACATGAATTTTATGACTTGAATCCTACACACCTGCTGTGATTGTATTTTGTCGACGATTTTTAGCTATAAAGAAATTACATTACAAGGAAAAATTACACTGGTTATCATAAATTAAGGAAAATTCACAAAAATCGCGATAACTCAAGAAATTACACATGGAATTTTATGAAACTTACCCACAATATACAACACATAGTAAGGTATTAAACAACATAAAAAGAAATTATCAGACATTAATAGTAGTATAGAAATTAGCACATGTATAAAATAAACAAATTGGAAGTATCGGTTTGCAATAGAAAAAGTACCTTTAATATGGAATATGATTGCCTCTAGAAGCAATACAGCACAAACAGCGATGTGTGATGCTTTCAATTATGCGGTCTATCAGTTCAATAGGAAGTGAGAGCCATTGCTCTT